CGCTTACTCCACACAAGGTCACCCTGCTGTGGACTGATGAGTACATGACTAAATATGTGAAATGTCTGACTGAGATAATAAGAAAGTTTCATTCACAGGTCTCTGACAGGGTCCCGAAAACATCAGAGGAACCCATTCATCCATTCCAATGTGGTGACCCTTCCCTTGAAAAAGAGGTCGTTGTATCTCAACGGGATCGACCTAAATAAAGGATAAATATGATCACTAATAGCCATCATTATTATTATTATTATTATTATTATTATTATTATTATTATTATTATTATTATTATTATTGTGACAATGAGTTGTGTTAAATGTGTGAAATCAATAAATACCTATGTTTAACCCTATTCAGGACTTTTGGGGTCTTTTGGACACCAGGCCATTTGGTTTAGGTGACAGATATTGTTGTTGTTTGTTGTTGTTGTTGTTGTTGTTTTTTGAAGATTTTTTTTATATTTATAAATTTGGAACCAAAAATACCTCAACTTTTCAAAAAATTTATTTAACGTAGTATAAAAGTCTAGAATGAATGCTAGCAAATATTTCGTCATACTCACAAAAGAAAGACCTTCTTCGTATGGCAACATGAAAGTCCTGAAGAGGGTTAAATAAAAGCTACATTAAAAAAAAAAACAAAAAAAAACATGATCACTTATAGCCATTATTATTATTATTATTATTATTATTGATAATAAGAACATCAATAATAATAATTAGAATAAGTATTTGCAATAAGTTGTGTTAAATGTGATCAATAAATATATGAAGAGTTCATTTGCAAAACCTTCACAAACCTTCAGAAAACCTACTTTTCCATCGTCTACCTGAGACAAAATCAATCAAACTTAAGTTGTCTCTATTTTTTCATGTCATTTCTACTGAGTCAAATCCACTCTTCAGTGTGATTGATATTATCTCAAGCAAACAAAAAAATGTTCTGAAAATCTACAAAAATTGAGTAATCTGTTTTTGCAAATGAACTCTTCATATGTTTAAAAAACCCCAAACTTTATTATTAAACATTGCTCTTATTTGTGTAAGAAAACTCCTCATATAGTTGATCCATCACTACTTTTTGTCTTCCTCTACTAGATTTGACATAACGTCCCCATTATAACCTACATTAGTGGTTTATTTTGAATGGAGGCCTCCTCTGGACCCTCTCCTGGGCCCCTGGGGGGACTCAGCTCCCCCCCTCCAGCCGGCCATGACTCCTCTCGGGGAAGCACCGCGGGGTCACCCAAATGCCTGCCGGTCTTCTCCAGTGTGTCCGGTAGAGTTTGCTGTGGCTGTTCTCTGTCCCTCCTCCTCCTCCTCCTCCTCCGCTGCTGCTGCTGCCGCTGCTGCCGGCGGCTCCTCCCCGTCCATGTATCAACTCTGTGACGGGTCACGTTATTGGAGGGGGCCGTCGGTGTGTGGAAGCACTGCGCTCCCTTCCGACCACTTACTATCTGGCCGCACTTCACCATCAAATATCACTCAAAGAGTTGACGGAGAAGCGAGAGCAGCCGAAGAAAAGCAGCCGGGATTTTTTTTTTGTTTAAAAAAAAAAAAACAACCGGAGAAGGAGAAGGAGCGCTGCGTCGGGCTGTAATCTAACCGGAGGAGCTGGATCTTACCGCGGGCTGGATGACAAGCTCAGCGGCGGTGTAGGTGCACCGGAGTCCGCCGACGACATGGAAAATAAATAGTTGGTAACGTTGCGTTTCTTCCGTAAGAATACGTCCAGTGTGTGTGTGTGTGTGTGTGTGTGTGTCGGTAAAGTGCTCTAATTAAGAGCAGGGGAGAGAGCCTTCAGCGTACATATGAAATGTCAGTGAAGCTCAGTGTAACATTTAATTAGACACAAGAGTCCTGCTTCCAGTTTTATTCTGTAGCAAGTTGTCACTCGCTTTGAAATGCCACAGCTCGCTTCCCCCCAAGGAAACGAACAAGTGTGGCATTATATAGAAAATAAATTCAGGGTTTGTTGCCTGAGTTTCACTGTGATTGGAGACTTGATCTTACCTGTTTTTCCCTCTGCCTGCATGGTGTTGCTCCTTAATGCCAGTTGTGTTACTGTTACACACTTTCAGTACCTCAAAAGAATTGTATGTCTGCTTGGATCTTGTTGTGCCATTTTTGGTGTCAATATGCTAAAAAAGATTAGAATAATGTGCTCCTGAGGATGTTTTTATTTCCAAAATAAGAGAGCAGCGATCTATATTTAGAAACTAAAATCTCAGTTCTGCTCTCTTCAGTCGCCCACCATCAGTTTGGATCCGGCCGAAGTCATGGATGCAACATGGAAGAACTGCTTCGAAGAGGAGCTGCTGTGTCCCATTTGCCTGAATGTTTTCGACGAACCCATCCAGCTGCCGTGCAAGCACAACTTCTGCAAGGGTTGCATCTCTGAGGCTTGGGCCAAAGACAACGCTGCGGTCCGCTGTCCCGAGTGCAACCATGACTACGAGCAGAAACCCACACTGGAGAAGAACTTCAAGCTGGCCAACATAGTGAAGCGCTTTAATGCTTTGAACACTGAGAAAGTCCCCGCTGTGCTGCACTGTGTCCTCTGTAGACGAGGCCCCCCGCTGCCCGTGCGCAAAGTCTGTCTGCGCTGCAAGGAGCCCTGCTGTCAGACCCACATCCAGACGCACCTACAGCAGCCGTGCGCCGCCCCGGGACACCTGTTAGTCGACGCCGAGGAGCTGAGCGCTTGGACCTGTCCCAGCCATGAGGAGTACAGGCTGCTCCACTGTGAGGACGAGCAGGTGGCTCTGTGTCCGTTCTGCTGCATCTCTCACTGCACTAACCAAAGACACACAGTCTGCGACGTGGATACACAACGCATACAAATGCAGGTAGACAAAATCGCACCCACACATGCGCTCAAACTCTGAGAAGCTCTGAAAGGTGCACGCGTTACATGGTTGTGTGTTTGAATTTCAAGCAAGCAGACATTTCTTTCAGTTCACTAGTCTATAAAGACTTTCCCTCTTTGCCTCCTCTTTTAATCTAATCTGATGTGAAAGGACTGGACAGGTGAAAGCCACCCCTCTGGGTAGATGATAGCACACACACACATGCACACATGCACACACACATGCAGGCAATACTTCCCCCCCCCCACACACACACACACACACTGCTTTTAACCTTGATCATACCAGCCACTCCAGACCGCCACGCCTTCCCATTAGCAGCGCTGTGCCCTCGGGTAAGTGCTGTGATGCAATCTGCATCCACCGGAAATGATGACCCCTGTGCAGTGGGGGCGGATCCACATGTGGTTTGTTTATGTTAGCCGCCCTGATCGGTTTCATGCACACTGGCCAGACTGTGGAAGCTGATAAATGAAGGCGGTTTGTGAAAATGTTCACAAGCCAGCATCGAAGCCATTCTCTGCGGTTGGAAGGTCAT